AGAATTGTTTTGTATACTGAAAATGGGCTTTTTGGCTGTTATTGCACCATGTTGTGATAATGCCTGCAGACTTTCTGCCAAGCATTTTAAGATACAGGGCTGTAAGGTGGCTGATGAGTCAAATGTACTAGGTTGGCAAGGTCAAAGGAGAAGGTTTTCCTCAGTTTGGGGATTTAGTGGTAACAGTGTTTTGTTGTGGTTTTTTTTTACTGACTTCTCATTCTCACTCTGAAAAGGTCAAAATCTGCAGCTGTACCTCTTCTGGGTAGTCCTGTGGGTCCCTCCTGGAGCAGGATCCCTTTCTGTATAGTCAGTTGCAGGTTCTGGCTCTGAATGCAAACTTCTTCTTTTTCTCATGTTGAAAGTAGTGACTCGAACCCTTTGTGCCTTGTTGTCAGTCATGTTCAGGTGATAGTGGTAAAAATGCTGATGCCTGTCATCTGTGCTATTTTTGGAATTAGTCAAGTTACACCAACAGTTATTGGGGAAAACTATTAACCTGACTGCTACCCATAATTATGTAACGTATGTCAGTGCTATCTATATGTGCTTAACTTCCTCTTGTAACCTCGAGAATAAGTAGTAAAATACCAGCAGCTGTTGCAGGTGGCAAGCTAATGGATGGTCCTGAAGCTACCAATCCAATTAATCAGTAAAAAGTGATTAATAAAGCTGCTTGCAGAATAGAGAGAATCGTGGCTGTTGTTTTGGCTCACTGAAAACCATTTTTTTTCCCCTTTGTACTTGGATGAAGTGTTATCTTGCTGATAGCCTTCTCAGTATCCTGTGGGTCTCTGACTCTGGCTGTGTTTCATATTTAACTCCTCCTGCCTGCAGACACGCCTGCATACTTTGTGAAAGTACTTGTCGGTAGTTTGTCACAACTGCACTTGAATGCAGTGCTCCCACGCTCTGTTTGGGGAGAGGTCCAAAAGTGCACCTTATTTTGAAGTTCTTTTGCTTGTTTTCTAAACTGGGTTTTCAGAGTTTGGATAATGCTTCTAGAAAAAACAACTCCACTTTTTTTTTTTCCGGCTTAATCCAAGTATCTGGCTTGTATAGTAAAATATTTGTCATCTTATATGAAACTTAGCTTCATAATGGCTATTTCCAGTTTTACCTTCAATAGGTGCCTTTTTTTGGTTTTAAATGATTTTTTTTTTTAATCCTAGAATTATATTTCCCTTTTCCCTGCAGCAACTACTGCTCTGTGGGAGATGTTCCAGTTCCTTGAGCTGTTTCTGCTTGAGGAGTAATATTTATTGTAGATGGATAATTAGCACACTTGCTCACCTAGAAAATCTGGAATCTCTGGAGTGTTGAAAGCAGCAGCGTGTTAGCACTGTTACTTAATACGCTGTTGGGACTGTGCATCTACTAACGTATTTCCTCTTTCTCGCTGCAGACCACTTTGATATTGAGTACAGCAAAAGCATTGCTGCGCAGTACGGGACGTGCTTTTGACTTGCTTCATTACAGTATTTAGGGGCTGACATCAAAGAGTTTCCTGCATTAGAGCAATGTTAAGTACTTGTGGTGAAATGATCAATCACTGAAGTATGAGTTTGGCTGTTGAGGCCTTAGAAGGCTTGAGCGATATTGAGTGAAGTACTATCTTTAGTTGCCATTAGCGTGTGATGGGTCTTCTTTCATGCTGTATCTGAACACAGGAATATCCTTGTCTCTAAGATGAACCCAATTAAGATGTAGGATGCAACTCTCCACGGTCTTGATGATGTGCATCACTGCTTTAGAATATAATTACTGAAGTGAAACTTCACAACAAATACACAAATGAAAAAAAAAGACATTTAACTGTAAATGAAACTGACTTTTCCCTTCATGTAAGCAAGCAGTGGTGTTTTTATTTTTCTTTTACATTTCTGTTACATTGGGAATCAACACTTCTTTTGCTCAACTTTGTATTGTAGGAATGACATTTCCTAATGTGAGTTGCTCTATCTCTTGGCAGCAATCCATGTAGTCTTAGTTGGAGAAGATTTTTCAAAATGAGATCCAAGTCACCTTCAGTAATATTTGAAACATGAATTTGGTGGTTGCAGTTCTTCAATGCCTTTTCTTGAGTATCATAAGTTATATTATCTATGTCAATATTTCCATTTATCATTCCCTTAGTTCTTCAGCAACACTCAGAAATAGTCTGTGATAATGGTGGTCAGGGTGGGTTTTTCTTTGTGTTTAAAGAGAGTAAACGGGAGGAAGTAGAATTCTGTGAAGATTTTGTGCACTATTAAGCTGTAATGGAAGCAAGATATTGCTGTTGAGAGCTCTTGATGTTCTGAGTGGTTATAGGCAGCAATGACAATGTAGCTGGGGCAGAGGCAGGCTGCAGTGACAAATAGGAAAGTTATACAAAAGCAGAATATGGCCTCGTGTATGGAAACCAGTTTCAAATGTTACTACAGACATAACGGCCTTCTAAAAATACTGATTTCTTTATTATTGTTACTATTTTGATGTAATACTACCACTTAGACTTTCATTTCTTATGAATTAAAAGACTAGAATGCATCTGTCTGCAGATTCATAGTCCTTGTAAGTCATCCTTTTTTCAGCATTCAGTATCTCCTAGATCAGTAGAAGAAGTATGTGTGTTATCTTTCCAAGCTTGTGGCAGGCGTACAGACTTGGTTCTTGGTAGGGTCTGTGGAAAACCACCATTCTTGTGTGCAGTGTTCATCGACTTCTTTACTGATAGAGAAGTGAGAGGCAAAAGTCTTGGAGCAATCCTGTGACCAAAAAGGTCATCCAAACAAGAATGAGCCTAGTTCTGGTAATTGCTAAGTTTGTGAATCAGCATTTGGGCTGAGACCTCTGAGTCTTGGCCTCTTCCTCAACTATATTTATTTTAGAAAACTTTCAACTATTTACAGAAATGAAGTAAGGACTGAGTCATCTTTCTGATAAAAGCTTTGAAGAGCACAAATTCTCCCATTTTTGAAGGAAGGATTTAACATTTTGCAGGGCATTAGGCTCTTTAGTTTGTCCAGTTGTGTTTTAGACAGTTTTTAATGGTGATCCCGACAGAGAGCTATTTCGGTTCCCTGAGCTTCATAGACTTGATTTCCCCCTGCCCCCCAGAAGACCTCCAAAACAAAACCACCCAAAGCTACTGATGGCTTTACAGTTTGTTGTGGTAGGGGCTTTTTAGTTGGTGGTGCTTTTTCAGTTCAGTTAAGCATTTGGTCTCCTTTGGCTTTCCTCTAGTTGCCCGGAAGGATTTTAGAATCACCATCCTTAGGGAGAGTTAGAACACACACTAAGAAATCGGTGTTAACTTTAAAGTTGGCCCTGCTTTTAGGGATGAAAAGTGTGGTGATAGACATGTTAAAAGAGGTCTAGAAGGACCTCTTTCAAAGGGCTGTTCTGATCTAAATTAGGATTCTAATTCAGCTTTCTTAAGAATTAAAAAAAAAAATACAGAAGGTGTGAAGAAATGCAAGATCTATTTAGGGAGGAAGACCCTAAAAATATCTATCCTGTAGAATAATTTTCCAGAACAAGATGTTTAAAATTCTGACCCCTGGTCTTGTCAAGCCTCAAACTAAGAAAAATCATTATGAGAGTTACAAACACTAGTTCAGGAGTGTTTGGGAATTTTGGTTTCTTTAGTGTTTTGCACATAGAGCTACAAGTAATTTTTGCTTAACTACTGTCCTGTTGCACAGGATAGTATGCCTGGCTTCTTACAAGCATCACAACAGGTGTATTTTTAAGGAATATTTCTAATAAGTATGTTTAATTTTATTTTCTGAAGGGACAGATAGCTATGAAGGCTGAACAGGATGTCAGTGTGTGATTTGTCCTGTGTGGTCGATGGGGAGGATGCGGGTTACCCCATACCTGTCACATAGACTTGGCTAACAAATCTGGGGAAAGTATGACTTCAACAAACCAGTGTGCCACTTAATTTTTCATTTCCTCTGTGTTATTTCCAGATGATTCTTACAATAGTTACAACACTCTAATATGAAGCAGGTGTGTTTATCACTTTGGACATTAATATTGTGTTTACTAGACTTGCATTCGGTACTTTAGTTTCCAATATTTTAGAAAGTATTTGGTTAAAAAACTATTTAATGTTTGGTTTTGGCTTATCAGTCTTCTAAGTGCCATAGTTCAAGCTTTCATGAATTAGGGTGGACTGCTATAGAATCACAGAACATTTTTTAACTGGAAGAGACCTTCAAGATCGAGTCCAACCTTTGTCTTAGCCCTATCAACAGCACTAAACCATGTCCCTCACCACAACATCTACCCCTCTCTTAAACAGCTCCAGGGATGGTGACTCAGCCACCTCCCTGGGCAGCCTGTTCCAATGCCTGATGACCCTCTCAGTAAAGGAATTCTTCCTAATATTCAACCTGAACCTCCCCTGGCACAACTTGAGGCCACTTCCCCTTGTCCTGTCACTCACCACTAGGGAGAACAGACCAACCCTGCCTTGCTATGACCTCCTCTCGGGTAGTTGTAGGGAGCAATAGGGTTTCCCCTCAGTCTCCTTCAGGCTGAATGACTCCAGATCCCTCAGACATTCCTTGTACGACATATGCCCCAGATTCTTTGCTGGCTTGGTAGCCCGCCTCTGTACCCTCTCCAGCACCTCAATGTCCTTGTAGTGAGGTGCCCAAAACTGGACACAGTACTCAAGGTGCAGCCTCACCAAAGCTGCATACAGGCTATGTACACAAACTCACTTTCTCAAAGTCAGTTACTTCAAGTAATAAACAAGAATTAAAACTATTAAACGAGTCGTGGATTTTGCAACAACTGATTAGCTTGACTTGCTTTCTTTGCACATCAGTGGCTACTGGAAAGTAATCTACTGAGAATTTGGGTTGGTGTTTTGTTTGTTCTTTTTTGTTTTGCTTTTCCCAGCTGAAATAAGGTTTTTTAAATAGATTACTCTGTTTTCAGGTGGTGATGATTAAACAAACCCAAAGGAAGCGTTGCTAAGCAAATTGCTTTTTCTCTTAAAGGCATGTAACACCAGAGAAGTTCTATGTGGAAGCTTGTGATGATGGAGCAGATGATGTGCTTGCCATTGATAGAGTCTCCACGGAAGTCACTCTTACAGGTACTCTCTTCACCAGTATTTCTCAATATTCGCTTCTTTGTCCTTTTTGTGTTGTTTTTTTTTTCCTAGGCCTCTTGTTTACTTTATCTAAGAGCAGTGTGCCCATCCCTGTAATACTGTTGGTGTTGTAATATATCATTTCAATTTCTCCTTCAAAGTTATCCATTCGAAACTGTCGAGATTGCTGTCCCAAGTCTTTTGTTAGTCTGTTCTCATTATTGGTGTTTTATCAGATGCACCTGCAAGATGTTTAAAATGAAGGAAAGTTCAAGTGCTGTCTTTCATTTGTTGAATTGAATGACTGTTTTGATTAAACACAAGAAATGGGCTTAGAATGCTTCTATATCCTTTACTGCACCCTCCATCAGGCTTTAAAATTGAGATGCATTTATTTTACTTAAGAGTGCAGCAACACTTGAGATTTGAGCAACTTTAATAGTTTTCTGATATAGTCATGGAAGAAGCAGTCTGAAATTCTGATGTTGTGGTTTTTTCTTCTGCTTTTCAGTTAAGAAAGATGTCCCCCCTTCAGCTGTTACAAGGCCTATATATGGTATTTTGGGAACCATCCGATTGGTGGCAGGTAAGGAAAACATAACTGTACTTTTTAAGAATACTGAGACAAAAGATACTGATGAAGAATCTTCAAAAACAAAAATAGCATCTGTGAGTATGTGAAGCTACACTTTGAGCAATGTGATGGACTTTCCTTGGGGCTGCTGGAGGGTGGAGGTATCCAAATTGTTAATCTTTAATGTTCACGTGCATCAAATATTAAAGCTACAGCCTCAGCTCTAGGGTTATTAAAAAAAAATGCAGGTTGGTACCTATTCTTTGACTGACTGTATAGACCTGATGTATTAATTCACATGTGCGCAACTTTGCTGTATGTCTGGGTATAGCAGTAAGTAAAAATAATGGGTAAACCTACCGCATGCAGCGTGAACTGTTTCTGCTTTGGCTTTTTTACTTGTTTGAATGCTTTATTACAAAAACATACTAGTTTTGTGATTCTGTGTTGTGTTTACCAATGAGTGTAAAGTAATTGGTTTGCGTGAACTGTCACGATTGTGGTTTTTCGCTTCGCTACTTACGCAACCAGGAAAACAGCAAGCTTCATGCCTTAAATTATTAAAGTCCCTTCTCTTTGATCTATTTTTAACCTGTTAGGTTAAGTGGGTTTTTTTGAGATGAATATGCTTTTTAGATTTTGAAGCATGCTTCCTTTTGAGTGTTTTGGACTTGCTCTGTGGTTTCCAAACCACCTTTGAGACTACTGGCCTCTTCCTTCATTTGCAAGCCCAAACACTTTCAGACTGTCTCTGGTCTGGAAAAAAAGTGGCATCTACTCTTACTTATCTTTTCCATTTTAAAAAAAAAAAAATGCTTAAATAGCTTGAGATCTGTGAGCACAGAGAATTGGGTAGCTCTGCCAATGCATTTTGCTTCTGTTCCAGCCCCTTATTGTGAAGAACGTGAAGCCCTAGGTGTAACTTGAAGAAACCTCAGTCTTTTCTATTGGTGTCAGTTCTTGTGTGGTTATAAGCTGGTTTGCTTAACGTGTGCATCTGTGTTTTTGTTTTTTTTTTTTAACTTTGCTCTTTCTGAATTACAGGCACGTATCTTATTGTAATAACAAAAAAGAAAAAAGTAGGTGAGATTTTCAGTCACGTAATCTGGAAAGCAACAGACTTTGACATCCTCTCTTACAAAAAGACCATGCTGCACTTAACTGATATTCAGGTAGGAGGATTGATTAGGATGTGAGTGGGGGTGAATGTTTTCCTATTTTACTGTCCGTTACCACAGGACTTAATTTGAATTTATTTTTTTTAAGAAGCTCTTTGAACTACGCTTTTTTTTTGATTTGTTCAGGCTATTATAATTGGTATCATATTTGGGTATAGATGTTCATGAAGTTGTGTCATTTGAGATAACAAACTGACGTCGTGCAGTTTTGAATATCACACCCAGAGTTTGCTCTGCCTGTTGTGCATTTCTCCCACTTTTAAGCTTGTACATTATTCGTAATGCTCTTCATGTTAAATTTTTCTCACAGCTCTATTACTGTGTTAGCCCCTACAATAAGCTGCCTTGCTGTCATCCAAGTATCTGTCTTGCTTAACTTAGGGAATTGTTCAATTATCTAATTACCCATCAGGGAAGAATTATGGGTTGGTTGGGGTTTTTTTTTGTTATTTTTCTGGTGTTTTGAAAGGGAAGGAAAGGATGAAGATTGTTTAAAGCGAATATGTTATGGATTGATAAAGAGTAGATGAGGGTGTGTAGTCAACAGAGCTGGAGGGAATCTGATGCTCTTTTCCTGAAAGGAATGAGGCTGGTCAAACTTGAACTGGAGCACAGATTAGTTATTGGGGTAATCTTGACAGTAAGTTATAGCCTTCCTTTTTCACAGGCATTGTGTCTCAGTTTTTTGACTGAATAGTTTTCAGGGAAACTAACAGCTTTTTTACTTCAAAGTCGCTAATATTAGTTTAATAGCAGTGGCTATTTTTACCTTATAGGAGTGCTGTTCTTGCAGAGCTGGGTTGCAGTGTGCTAGCTGTAAGCCATCAGTGAACTGGTATCAAAATTGCAATCTCGTGGTTTCTGTCTTGTGTGGTAAACTCTGGTGGTGTCGTGTTGCTAGAGCACTAGCAAAGGTCATCACTTCAAAAAGTAGTGGTAGCTTATAAGAGTAAGATATTTCAATGGGAATAAACGAGAACTCTTCTATCCTTTTTCCTCATACCTACAGTTGCAGGACAATAAAGTATTTTTATCGATGCTTAATCATGTCTTGAGTGTGGATGGATTTTACTTCTCAACAACGTATGACCTAACACACACTCTGCAACGGTTAGCCAACACCAGCCCGGAGTTCCAAGAGATGAGCCTCCTGGAGAGGGTAAGGATTGAATTTTGCTTAGTATCTATGTCTCGGACATTGTCCCTCAGTTCTGTGTGTCTTAAGTGTGATTTATGCAGCTGATGTTTCAGTGATGTCCAAACAAACTAGCATAAACTGAAGGAAACTTTATCTAAAAGTTGAAGAGGATGTTGCTGAAATCCGTGGTCCCATTACACTTGAGTTAGTGTGCTAAATGGTAGCAGATACTGTTTTAAACTGAAAATGGCTTTACTATTTTAATCATGAATTTAAACTTGTGAAACATTTAAATGGAAGAAAGATGTTCCATCTCCATGTATATAGATTCACCTAAAGTTGTGTTATGCATGCATACTGTGATATTGCCTTTATGTTGAATTAAACAGAACTGACGCTCCTTGAAAGTATATCGGCTCTTTTCTTGTTGCAGGCAGACCCACGGTTTGTGTGGAACGGACATCTTCTTAGAGAATTTGCTGCTCAACCAGAGGTAAATGCTTTTTAATAGCATTGATAGAGGACAAATATACTTTTACTGTAAGCATATAGCAGTTTCCTGTAAATCAGTCTCCTTCAGACAGCTTGAGTCTCCCATAGGTTAGTGCAGGAACAGTGTACTGCTTTCAAACCTCTGTCTTCATGTCAGTGCCCTCAGGACATAGAGTAAAGCTGACTTTTGGAAATGTCTTATTTAAAGATGCTCTGTTGAGACCATGCTGACAGAAACCAAAGGGGAGGTTACGCTGCACAGCATTTTGAAGCGTAGCTAATTATTTGTCTTCAGGTGTAGGCAAGGTTCAGGTCATCACTTTTTCTGTTAAGGCCCACTCACATCTTTTTTCATGAGTGCAGGCTAAAGTCTATTTGCCTAACAATTAGGTCATAAAGCTGGAGTAAGACTGGCAGTTTTGACCCTTTCAGTTCATTTCAAATGAAGACTAGTACAGCGTAACCTTTGCATTCCCTTAGTCCAGCAAATACAAGTGTGTGACCACGTGCCGCATCTGTAGCACCTCAGTGGCCATGCTGATCTAATCTCCTTCCTACTAAAGGCTTCAGATGTGTGTTAAACTTCTCAAATTGCCTGTGCTAAGGCAACCTTCTCCCTCTGTCAGTGCTTCTCACTTACCGAAGGGAATGACGCACTGCTGCTATTTCTGTCTCTGTCACCTGTGGAGATGTGCTCTTGCATTAGCGCTGTTCCAAAAGGCTGGATTGTGCAGTGTGTCTGGAATGGGGAGATAGGAATTAGCAAAGGGCTGTTGTGCGTGTTCTGGAGGTGTACGATTTGGATAGTGCTATGCAAACAAAGCCCGGGAAATGAGAGAGAAGCTGTGGTGGGAACAGCAAAGCAAGCCAAGTGTGGCTGGTTAGTGAAAACAGATGTAGGAGGCAAAACACAGAAGCGGAAAAGGGAGATAACCGATACATGAGGGGAAGCGTGACCTAACATTGACTACAGGTGCATTGCTATAGGAACAGCTTTAGGTAACGTGTTGTGGTGCTTCTGACTTGTAGTATTGGAAGATTTTTAATGCTAAATTTTCTTGAAAGCTCAAGTTATTAAGGAGTGGCGGGATGGAAAAAAGCCTGGGACAAGTGTCTTGAGTATTAATCATGTAGAAGCATTCCTTACGAAACCCCAGTTTTGTTAGCTACTAAAAGTGCTTACATCCTGCTGCGGAGGTACCGCAAACATGGTATCAAAAGGTTTTGTGAGTGTTCTGCATTATATCTGGTGTGTTTGCAGAAGAATAAATGCCATGTATGGGAGGACAAAGCAGCTTGTTTTCTGTCAAGGTCACTTACTTAGGATTAGACTTTCACTTTTTCCCTGCTGCTAATAAGGATTACATATGTTGTGGTTTCCCTTGAGCTTTTTTCTGAAAAGGATTACTGCACTCTTAACTAACCTAGACAAAGCCTAGTGGCTCACTTATCTATTTTTGACTGCTGGTGTTTATTGATTCTTAACGTGTATTGTGTGTGTGTTTCAGATCCATAGGTTTGCCACGCCAGTGATGCATGGATGTATCCTTTTATGTTGTAAAGCTCAGTGATGAATATGGCAACGTAACACCACAGTGGTTGCTGATGAGGCTGCTCTGTTGGCTGTCTTAGCAGCTATTACAGAGCACAATGTCAGAATAAAGTTGTAGTTTGTTCAGATACGAGCATTAGGTATTGTTTGATAGCTTGCTCTTATGTGAGCTCAGTTGAATATTCTGCTTTTAAGGCTTTAATGTATTAAATTTTACAGGCCTGATTTGCATAACTGTCTTTAAGTGGGATTGAAGGTTAAGATCAATATGGCAAATGTTTATACCAACCTTAGTACTTTTTATCTTGCTATAAGGATACCTCCAGTTAGCATTTGATTTGGATATAAAGTAAGGGAGAACAGTTTTGACTAGGAGTGCTGATGGATGTTCCTACTGATGAACAACAACAAGGAGTTCTTCTTAAGACTCCTGGAATGTTTCTCCTAATCAGCTGCTTTTGCTGTACCAGCACTTTTGGTAAAACAGCCTTTTTAGCAAAGCAGTCATGAGTTTATTTTTGAGAAAGGGGTGTATGCCTTACTGCTTTCTGGAGACAGCGTTGCTTGTGCTGTGTGTGACCAACGATAACTCTCAGGTGCTCCTGGACTGGCACGACCAGGAGAGCGACTCGTGCCACATTCTCTTTAGTTCCTCCACTGCCCAGGTCCTTCAAGTGTGAACAGAGAACAGCTTCTAGGCTGCATCAGTTGTTCTGGCAGAGCTGTTAGCAGCTGGCAGATTTCCAGTCCTTCTTTCCTGTGACTTCATTTAATGGAAAAAGAGGGTGGGAGTAGGTGGAGAGGCAAGGAAGGATCACAAAAGGGAACTGTCAAAACAACCCAGACCTTATCCTGCAGGTCCAGGGTGGAAGAGTCTGCGTGGATTGCATTGTAGCAGTTGCACACTGCAATTAACACCTTTCCTCTGTCCTATTTTCACTATGTAAAGAATTAGCATAAGTAATGTTTGTTTTGCTGTAGCTCTAATACTAACCACACACCTTAAAGAACCCAGGAATTCAAAGATAACTGGATTTTTAGTGATGAAAATGCTAGGAAGAGCCCTAAGCAGAACTGTTAGAGTACTACTAGCAGTTATTTCAATAAAATCAATCATTTCTCCCTCCTTGTATAAACCTAAATAGGTTTTGTTCAACTATTTTGGTCTGGGCTTCTAGTCTTGCAGTGATGAGAAATAATGGACTTACTTGGGTAATTGAGACTTTGATCGCCTAAAGTCTAAACTACATTTAATATTTCCCTTCTAAAGAAAAAATAAATTGCATCTTATACAGAAAAAGGATAAGTAGCAAGTTGCCATTTAGGTTAGGACAGAGATTGCAAACAGAAAATGGGATGGTTACTGTGAAGCAGCCAAGTTTAGAGTTAACCTTTCTTGCAGGAAGCTATTGACTGTACAAATGTTGAATTCAAGGGATTAGGGGCCTGGCAGTAATTTTCTGGGAAAGCAGAGGAATAGATCTTTTTCTCAGCCCAACTTGTGAATTGTGAGAACATTCTGGATCATGTAGGCCCAGTTTGTATTATTTTTATTTAATTCTTTACAGTCAGTATTAGCACAAATGCACAAATAAATCAAGAAGTTCCATGCATGCAGTCAGTGTGCTCTTTGTACGTAAAAAGTATAATGAAATTTTACGGTTTTTCCTTAGTGTTATTCATTAGTTATCACGATGCACTCTTGTTCTATTAATGGCAAGTGTTTTGACTGGCTGCTTGTTTCCAGAAGAAGCTGTTTCAGGGCTGGTGTGCGCTACTATGTAAGAGGTAAAACAGCAAATTGATTATTTTAGCAATAATGCAAATTCCATCTATACATGTAGTTTACTTTAAGAGTAATTGCTGTAGAATGACTTGTACCAAGAAATGCAAGCAATGTCTCCTGGACCTGTGTGTTTAATTTACCATCTTGAAGCAGCTCTGTAGTGTTTTCCTGCTTCCTGTGAGTTCTCGGGAAGGGGGGAAACCTTTTGCGGATACCATCACTGTTCTGCAGCCAATCTGAGCTGGTTAATATGCTCTTTCTCTTACACAGGTATCGATTCCGAAGGACATGCTGCTAACTTTGTGGAAACGGAACAAATTGTGCATTACAAGGGGAGCAAGGCATCATTCGTTCAGGTAAAGTCAGTGTGAGGAGCTGCTTGCTGGCTTGAGGTATATAGATGGAGAGCTCTGTTCATATCTTTCAACATACCGTGTATATAAGATGTGCATGCATGCAACTAAATGAGCTAAATCAATCTGCTTTATTTTTGAGTGGCATGTGAGTTTTTAAGTTTTGTCATTAAAACTTCTTTCTGTTCTGTTGCAGACCCGTGGATCGATTCCTTTTTTCTGGTCTCAAAGACCAAACCTCAAGTATAAGCCAAAGCCACAGATCAGCAAGTCAGTAAATCATGTATGTGAGTGTTTGTTGTGTCCTGGGGTTTTATTGTATTCCTGGGCTCTCGTTTGTCTGGTGGGGTAATGGGCTGTAATCAAAAGAATAAAAATAAGCAATATTGAATTGGCTTTTTTTTTTTAAAAAGTAGTAGCAGGAAGCCTTGTACTTGAGTTCAGAGCCTGAAAAAATCCAGACATCAATGGGGGAGTAGTTGCTGTTTGCAGCAGTTTTTCTAGTTGCACAGTACTTGTTTTCTGTGGCATGTTAAATAGGGAATACGGAGTGTACTGGGGGGAGGAAAGTAGAAGTGTATTAGCACAATAGAGAATATCAAATGCTTTTCTTAGTTATAAAACTACCTGTGCGGTATCATCAGAAAGATGATTACAGAGATGTCTTGTAAATTGCAGATCTTAACACTGCTGTACATCTGTCAACATATTTCCTTTCTCTTCCAGATGGATGGCTTCCAAAGACATTTCGACTCGCAAATAATAAGCTATGGAAAGCAAATGATTGTCAACTTGGTATGCTTTCACCTTTTCTTCCTGAAAAAAGTTGTTATTCCTTCAAGCAGACATTTGAATAATACTCTCTCTATTTTTCTTTTCATTCTCTCAGGTTAACCAAAAAGGTTCGGAGAAGCCTCTTGAGCAAACATTTGCAAAAATGGTAAACAGCATGGCAAATGGAATGGTCAGGTATGTGTGAAGTGCTGCCGAAATCCTTTATTAATCAGTTTTGGTGGCATTTACATGCCAGACTAAGACTTGAATTCTCAGTGTATATGCGCCGTCTTTCTTCATACAAATAGGCTGGAAAACTTGGCACATAGTAACTTTTGGGTAATGAATACTTGTGAGGAGGAATGTAATGCTCTGTAATTCACAGCAAACATATATATGTTGAATCAAACACCACTCACGTAGAGCATTTCTTGCTAGAAATGAATTAGCAGTTAAAGTCTTGCTCCAAGTCAGTAACTGTTTAATTTTCATATGGCAGAGTAGGTCAGTTGTTTAAACAGAACCTGTCTCAAGTTTCTAGAGAGCTACCAAGGGAATTCTGCTGCATGCTGGCAAAGAAGGTTGCATTTTGACACCTATGTCAAAGTGAACTGAAGTTCCCAATACAGTTGCTTGAAAGAGAGAAGGGCAAAATAATTTGATAGGGAAAGAACATGGAGATAAATCAGATGCATATCACTTTTGTACTTTGTGGAAGAAAAATACTAGCCAGAACATAGAATGAGTAACTTGGAACTGAATGTGTGCTTCTCCAAACTGGTGGCATCTTGTACAGAAATTTAAGTGCTGTCACAAGGCACACTCAGAGGCAGACGACAATGTGCTGACAAAATCCAGAGATATTTGCTGGAAGCCGTCTCTGAAGCGAAACAAATCCTCTGTCACTGCCTGTTTTATAGACCAGCCCTTCCCTGTGGTTTCAGAGACCTTCACTGCAGTACATAAGTTATCTGAAAAGCTGCTTTTCTCTCTGAACAGATATGTAGCATTTGACTTCCATAAAGAGTGCAGTCGCATGAGGTGGGATCGACTTCAGATTTTGATGGATCAACTAGCAGAACAGCAAGATGAGTTTAGGTAAGGTTCTGCAGCTCTCTTACTTCCATACTATTAAAATGAGATTACTTTTTCCTTGTTTCTACTGCCTACTGTTAAGGCACCTGCTCTCTTTTAAAAAAGTGTTTTCTCTAACACATACTGTTTGTGACACCAAACCTTGGCACTGGCACTGATTGGCAGCCCTTGCTAACATAAGTAACCCACAAGGGAACAAATTCCAGTTTTTCGAATTGTATAAAAGCAGAATCAAATCAACTTAAATCTATTTAGTCCCACAAGTGTGATATTTTAGCATCTCTTGGTTTGTGCTACTTGTAACCATGTAGATTGTCAGGGAAACTGTTTACTTTGTTCTGCTTCTCTGATTGTTTCCTTCCTGTTCCTAAAGTCTTGTGCCTAAAGCACAAAGATCAGCTAAAATACTACACAAGTGGCAGTGGTATATTCTATCCTAGAGGAAAAAAAGGTGAGCTGTGGACTAGAACAGTCTCATGATTTGAAATCTCTTGTCTGGGATGAAGACTGTGGGAATAGTATAAATTAATCAGAAAATAGCGAATATTCTCTGCCTACCACCAAAAAAAAAGCCTACAAAAACACATGAAGAGCCGAAGAATAAGTTGGCTTGGAGTACTTCAGATCAGGAGAAATAAGCATGTAGGTTTCCTGTACAGTGAGGATCCTTTATTCTTAGAAATAATTATGAACCCCATAACTTGTTTAGTGTCAGCTGCCATTGGAGGCTTACAAAAGAACCAGATTTCCTTGAAATTAAGAAAGACACTAATACAAAAAAATCTAAAATATGATACAAAAATTAAGGCTCTTAAGATCAAGGTGGCTCTACTTTGCCTTTTGTTTCATCTGGGGTGACTGTTGATGTAGGAGCAGTCTGATTTCTCTTAGAAAATAGTGCTGCAACCCTGAGGGAAGTGAACAATTCTGTGGAAGTCAAAAATGTGATTTTCTGCAGGTTAAATCCGGTTGTGAAAGTCTTGTCAGAAAGGAGAGCTGGCTTGCTGGATTTGCTAGGGGAAGAGGGGTTATGTGTTAGATTGGGTGTATGTGCTTGTTTTAATTTTATGGTTTTTTAGAACAATTATAGAAATAGCAGCTCTTAAACTATATTATTAACTAGAAATGTCAACTCTTCAACTCCACTAATTATCCTAATATCAGTTCTAGGCAAAGCTTGTGGGGAGAAGGGGGAAAATGAAGATTTCACAAGTGTTATTGTCTTCTTTAATCATACAATGCAAAACATGATTTAACAAAACTAGTTCTCCAGGAATGACAAAAATGGAGTTTGTTAACATAAGGTTGATCAAAGGAAATGCGTATGCTTCTAAGGCCCTTGATTTTAGTATGTCATGCCTCTAAGACTTTTTAATTTTGGAGACTTTAAGATAAAGTAAAATGCCATACAGTGGATTATATGCATAGACTACGTTCAGAGTTTGTAATTGCATAATGGAGTAACTTAATCTACAGAATGTGATGTGTAAATCTTTAGGCAACTGGCAGTTTCGGGCTGTGGCAGAATAACAAGTATAGTTCTGTCCCATTCATGCATCCAGCTGATAACTTGATCAATGTGTTTATATTACTAGCTATGTTATCAGAATACTTGCAATTCAGTATTTAAAACAAGCTCTTTGTTACCCGTTACTAGAAACACCTGGGTTAGTGGGTTAAAAAGATCGAGGTAACAATGAGCACATGCAGTTGTGGGAGGGAACATATGGGGTTACCCCACATGTTCACTTAATGGAGAGAAGAGTCAGTGACAGCAGCAGAGCTTTGGTGGTGGCTTGAGAGATCCAAATCCCTTCCTGCAAGAGATGTGCCTGGCAGTTTCTACAATGTTTTATGCAGTGGTGACTGGCCTGAACTAGGGGACTGGCTATAAACAAATCTGGTTTCTTAGGATCTTGATATCTGTGGAGCTATAACCCTATCATAACTGAGAAAAATAAAACATGAGTCACCGATTTGGTACCAGAAGCTGCTCTTCCTAAGGACACAGAACTCAATATTGCCAGTTGGCTTTCTAAATAAGAGGGAATACTGCCCTGAGGCTACTGAATGTTCATATATTGATGCTGTTTTTCAGTATGGGAGGAGAAGAATTCAGGGAGGCATCCAAGTTCAAAGACACAGCTAAGAGCTTTGTATGCTTGAGATGACTGTATATTGGTTGCTGGAATATTTCCTTCTGAAAATGTGTGACTGCTATCTATAAATACTGAGGTGGATTGCATGTGTTAGTTATTTTCTAGTTGATTCAGATGGTAAAATCGTGACTCAGCAGGATTCCGCAGTAACTGCATGGACTGCCTTGATCGAACTAATGTGATTCAGAGTTTGTTAGCACGCCGATCTCTTCAAGCCCAGCTTCAGGTAAGTATTTTATTCTTGTTTAACAAGCTGGGAGAGAGGCTTTTTCTTTGGTACAGAAACGTTATTTTAACACTACATCAAAAGTTTGCATGCCGGAGTTACTGTACTGCTTACAGGAGATGAATTGGTCAGACTCAACTCTAATAAATGAGCAAATACTAATTTCTTTAGTGAACTGCTAGCAAGCCTCAATATGTTTGTTTTGTTTAGAGGCTAGGAGTTTTGCATGTTGGACAGAGAATTGAAGAGCAAGCAGACTTTGAGAAAATCTACAAAAACGGTAGGCTCTATAAAGAGTTCGAACAATCATTTATTTATTTTTACCAGAGTATGTAACTTCCTTAATCTTTCTTAATATTTTCCTGTTCACAGCATGGGCCGATAATGCTAACGCTTGTGCCAAACAATATGCTGGAACTGGTGCCTTAAAGACAGATTACACAAGGCAAGTCAGCCTTTCTTGTAAAGGGCTCCTGGTTTTTTGGGGGCATGTTTGGGATTTTCTTTAAGTCTTCATATCTGAGAAGGTTATTAAGTTGGGGCTTAGGCTGTTAATGAGATTAGCAAGCGTTCAACCGGTAACATGTCAGACTGAAATCTACAGAATACCATTCTTCACTGCATTCACATAAAAGGAGAAAAGGCTGTCTACAAATAAAATCAAGAAAATGTGCCTGTTCAAGGTACATTTATATTGTAGGATGGAGAGAAGTGTAATTTTAGTTTCAAACTTTGTAACAACCACATGTTAATAATGCAGAGGCAGCACTAAATGTATTTACACGCAGGCATTTGGTAAACATAGCACATATTTGAACAATGAAAGTACTGTAGATCTGAAAGGGTCTTCCTGAATTTATACATCTAAATACTTTTCAAAACTTCTTTTTGCAGAACTGGGAAGAGAACTCAGTGGGGCTTAATAATGGATGGATGGAACTCATTAATACGTTACTACAAAAATAACTTTTCTGATGGATTTAGACAAGTAAGTTAGGCTTTTAGCTGTGGGGAATGTATTTGATAAACATTGCTGTGCATTTTAACTCTTGTTTTCTCTTCCTCTTCCAGGATGCGATTGATCTTTTTCTTGGAAATTACTCAGTGGATGAAGTAGAATCTGCTAGTCCTCTACATGTCAAGAAAGATTGGAAGTTCTTAGCTGTGAGTATGAAATATGACTGTTCATGATTGGAGAAACACATCCAGCCTTTTAGTCCCTTGCTTTGTATCATGAAGTAGAACATGTCTATTTAGTATCAAAGCATCCCTATAATCTGGTTCTGTTTCTGTGATACCTGCTTGTAGGACTAAACCCTGACTGTTCCCTTGACAGAAAATGGAGTGTCCTTGAGGTATTGAAAAATGGCTGCTTGGTGGCTCCTTTTTGGGGTTTGTGTGGTGTTTTTTTTTTTCTTTTTTAACATGCTTCACAAAGTGCAGAGGGAGGAATTCTACCAGTCATCATCAGTGGCCGTTTCCTCCTACAGAAGATGCTTGTGAAGATCTTTTTTTCATGTTTCGTGTGGAAGTATAGACTGTAACACAAAAAAAATTCCCCTCCCCACCCCCACTTCTATTTTGTGAAATAGGATTTGGGGATATTGCAAGTTTAGCATATTGGCTGGTGTATTTTTATTTTTTAGCCACAAACCTCAACCTCTCTTTTAATAGGTAGAAGGTGTATTGGTGTACTGTAATTAACCTAGTTTCTTGAACACACCTTTCCAAATTTTGGAGCTATCCTAAATTATATTTGTAACTGACAGCAGGTGAATCATGAATTAAAGCAACTTGATTGCAGAGCAAATAAATAGCTTTTCACTACGGCACATGTTAAAGGAAATTAAGGAATGTATTTGTTACTGCATCAAGTGATTATTCTTTTTCTCTTTCCCAGTTGCCTATTATTATGGTGGTTGCTTTCTCCATGTGCATTATTTGTTTGCTAATGGCTGGTAAGTTACTTCTGAGTTTAATTTCATAAAATGAGCTTGCTTGTGTGTGAACCTTGCTTCTCAGTCATATTAAAAAGTGTTTGAGCATGGCTCTGATGATTTGAGGGCTTGCACTGTATCAGTAACCTGGAAAAACCTCAGGTACTATAGAAAACAATGTTAAAGTTACTTAAGGGCAGTGACTTCTACTTTCATTTAACAGCAAATCTCTGAGGGAGAGCTTGAAATGGTTTTGCTTTTGTACAAAAAAAACCACACCAATCTTCTCTCTGATAATTAGAGATAACCAACGACAATATTTATCTCACTCTTAACAGGTGATACATGGACTGAGACACTGGCCTATGTGCTTTTCTGGGGAAGTGCAAGCTTTGGAACTTTCGCCATCATCCTTTACAATGGCAAGGATTTTGTAGATGCCCCCAAGCTGGTCCAGAAAGAGAAGATGGACTGAATTTGTGTGTGTGGAAAGCGGCTTGGTACTGAGGATTCCTCCAGCCATGCTTGGAGTCTTTACTGACCTGCTTTCCACACCAAAAATGGTCTTTTTAACATTCTTCCTTGGGAGTGTGGGAGATGGGAGGGGGAGGAAGAAGAAAATCCTGTCCTTTGGTGGTGATACCTTTCAGCCAAGACCGGACTTGATGGCTTTAGTTGCAATGGTCTTCGAAATATTGCATTAGTGGAGGGGGCTCCTCTCCTACTGAGGTAATGCAAGGATGTTTTAGGGTGTAAGTGAACTGATCATAGTCCACCTGGGCTGTTTCAGCTGAATTTTTGGCCTCTGGCTTGACAGGAGAGTGCTCTGATATGCTGTTTATGCGTCAAAACCCCCGGATGTTGAAGCATTAATAATGGAGGTTCTGGTTGTGGTCTCTGAACGAACACAGCTTCATACCAATAGAAATTCAAGTTCCAAGACTTAGAGCTGAATGAAATTTGTTGTGATAAAGTCCATGTTAAGGAGTCCTTTGTGCATATTTGTGTGTGGATTCTTTTCGCTAAATAGAGAAGATTTCTGAGTCTCATGCTCTTTTAAGATGAGCTTTTTGTCCTGTTTTGTTTATCTTGGACTAATGCAATATTCTGCTAATCATTGTTTGGGTGAAAGGACAGTGTAATTGGATGTTCCTGAAGTTGCAAATGTCTTGCACTGTTTCAGTACTCCAGTCTCCAGGTGATGATTCATTAGTTAGTGAGTTAAGATAGAGAATTTTCTTTCTGAAAATGTAAATGAAATCAACAAATGTAAGATTCTTTGCAGTGTTCATTGAACCTTCCTTATGCTAAAGGTCCAAAGTACTCCATTACTTTAAGAATGGGTTATAATGTAAAAGGTGAACTTCACATTGTTTTGCTAGTCAGCTGCTTCTACTCTTGGTTATGTTGAAATAATTTATGAAAGAAAGAATAATGACCCAAGGAGAAAGCATTTAGTCCAAGCTCTGTGTTTGCACTTGGGAGCAACAGCTTGCTTTTCATGCATGATACTGTAACACACTTGGGGGGAGGAAGCTACAGAATAATTTGTGCTGATTAATAATAAATGTGAGTCTTTAAATTTAGTGCTTCCAAGCTGTATAAAAATAAGTAATCCTAACCAAGGACCAATTTTAAACTCTTTTGTCACTTATTTTATATGGTTCATTTGAAACCAGACATGGAACTTGCTTAAGGCGCTGTGCATTGTTTCATATTTCCTGTAAGTACAGCTGTATATTCAGGCTGCGAGTATAAAATCTAATTGGGGGGGCGAAACCTGTAGCATACTAGGACTAGCACAGTGGTCACTGTTGAAGCTAGAACACAAAACACTGATAACTCCAGTGTTCCCTTGGGTTATGCCTGAAAATATGTACAGATATTTGCAACTGTTAACTTTTCATTTTAACCGTGAATGTTTCTGGAGGCCTCTCTGGGTTTTGTGTAAACACAACCTGTTCATATGCACTAGTACTTGCAAAGTATCTGTTTGCTTCTAGACGCTGTAATGGAAACGACAGTTGATGGTGAACTGGAAAAATCCTCTAACTTCAGACTTTCCAAGATGAACTCCATTATGGGCCCAAAGTACAAGAACATTGCAGGCTTGATATTTAGAAGCAGTGGGTTCGGCAGGTCGCTTGCAGGTGCCTTGGGAAGCTCGGTAGGGTTGGCTTGCAGCCTCGACCTAAGTCGAAGAACTTGCTGCAGCTGAGACCAGACTCAAATTGCTCATGTAAAAGGTTTGTGAGACAGGACAGTGCCAGGGATTAGAAGCTGTGGAAGGCACCTGTGTTTCAGTGCTTGGCTAAGAGTCTATTTCTGAAATCACAGATTGGGTGTACTCACAAGCAACAATAAAATGTTCAACTTTTCTATGTCTGTGTCTAGTGTGTGTTTAAATTCATCCGGTTGGATGAGGGAGAGAGGTTTCCCCTACTCAGGCAGAAATATTACTATTAAAGCTTTGGATCTTAAAGTTATTACGTGATGAGCTTTTGGGTTTCTTTTATTTTGGGGTTTGTTTTTTTTAAATAGATGAGTTATTTACAGGTTGTACTGTTGGGGTTTGGGGGTGGTGTTTTTACGGGGGAAAAAAAACTGAAGAAAAAAAAACAAAAAACAACTCGGAGCAAGTTTAAAACTTTAATCCTTTAAAAAGACACTCGATTATTTTTCTGTAAATTGAAAGCAAGGTTCGCCGTGACCCCTCCCTGGTCCCCGCTCCCGCCTGCCCTCCGCTGCCATCTTTTCCCTCGCGACCAGCCACCCCTTC